ATTTTACTATAACCGTGGTCTGTGTATGAAAAAGATACACTTTAATATGGTATTCATCAGAATATTACGCGTAGTTTATTATGTTGTTGTTTATCAGGTAAAATCCGATGGTATTAATTATAATTCGAATTGCCCGAACGATGTTATATCCAAAATATGATGTAATCCATTTGATAATATAGTATAACTATTTATATTTTCCATACCAATTGGCATTTATATCTATACGTATGTAATTTAAATCATTATCTTAATTCTTAATGGTAGTTATTAAAGTTTTAATACAAATATATACGTACGTTAATATATACGTTGGTTTACATAATAATATTGTTGAAGTTGATTTATTAGGAATAAATACATTAATTTTTTATTAAAGTCGACTGTTGTTGTTTATTGTATTGAATTTATAGATATTTACAAACGTAAAATTTAATTTTTTACATATTAGTTTAGATTCTGAGCAAAGCAATAGAAATATTTTTTTTTTTTATTTATTATAATTTAAATGTTTTAACATATTGCATGTTTTTACAAGTTTGTTATTTAAATTAATACAATTTAGAATTTAATTAGAATATGGTATGGATGATCAGTAAATTTGATACGTGTGTTAATTAAGGAGTGGAAGTGATGAGGAGTGGAAATTTATTTATTAGGGATGTTAGAGCAGCTAGGAGGGGGTTTAGTATTAATTTTAGCTCGTTCAGGAAACTTGTGACGATTTGGAGAAGTTGATCGGATGGTGGTGTATTTGCCGTGGCTTCGGTATATGAGGGTTTTTCTCTTGGGTTTGAGCGTAGCGTATCATGCCCACTTCTGTGGGGTGCAGGTTGAGGTGGTACAGCTTGAGTTTGAGTGTGTAGATTATCTCTTTCCAAAGCAATAGAAATATAGAATGTATTGATTTTTGTCACCAATGAGATTTTATAACAGAAAAATACTTCTATGTCTAATATCGAGGGTGGTTTCGGGTAGGTAGCAAAATGTATCTAGTTTGCTAGTTAAAAGTAAAAATGTCCAGTATTTTTCAAAATAATCAGGAAAATAATTTTTGCTGTTAATTTTTCAACAAATATTTTCAAAATATTTTTGGGCTTTTTTTAACTACTTATACCTTCACATTTTGAATTTTGACTTATTTTCGATTTATGTTATGATTTATTTAATTATATTATTTATTATTTAGTTTAAAGAACTTGAACATTTTAGTAATATACTCAAAGTTAATCTTAAGTTGTACTGACTAGAATTTAAAAAAAAAATTAGCATAAAGTCACATTTAAAAAAGATTAAAAATCCATAGTTACAAATTGTTTTATAAGCGTTTAAAGTACCTTCTAGAGTTTTCCACGTTAGAAGAGACGAACTACTTGTTTTATTCTCTTTGATGACAGTGCTGTGATATCAGTACCATATTATTATGTCTTATAAAACTAATAACTAAAGATCAAGTTCAATCAAATACGACAGATAGCGCCTAGTAGTAGGTGAAAAAAATTGACTGTTCCATATAAAACGCCTATTCCATATATGTCGCATCTCCTCCTCCTCCTCTCTAGTAGGGACTTCGAACTTTTCGTCATGACAATGCAATGTTTAAAATATTTAGACTAATTTTAAACTATTTATTCTAAGGAATTATTTAACGAACCTATTTACACCTTATACCTACTTTGCATAAAATTAAATTAAAATAATTTTTATATTTTATGGAAAACTAACCTAATACCTTTAATACTTCATTAAATGTATATATATTAGAGAAAGTTCATGTATACAATATATTATATTTATTTATTATTATTTTTCTTATTATTGCTTAATTATTCTTACAATATAATTTATTAATATGTATAATATACGGTTAACGTTATACCTACATAATATATTAATATGTATGTGATATCATTATCATTGGTAAATGTAAACTCTTCTAGCGATTATCTATTTTTGATGTTACCTCGTCACGGTGTTCGGTAATAATACCTAAGTACCTAATCTAAAGGTCGATCGTTATTACTTATTAGTTATTAGAGCCCTTATCTTTTTTTTTGATTTGTCTATAGGAAAGGGGGCGTCATAAAATACCCATGTATTACATTAGTATTTTGATTTTAATTATGTACAATTCAATGTATTAAATCCATATTTATGTTATTCGATTTTCCACTGTTTAAAAGAAAAATGTAACGTTTAAACAAAATATTCAATTACAATTAAAAAAAATCAATTATTTTTATAGTAAAGATACCTCTATATATTTATTCCATATTATTTATTTATTATAAAAAAGCATTGGGGTTAGATAAATCACAATTGTAAAAAAAACGAATATAATATAGAAATTATAGTTGTGCAATTATAATTATATAGTTTTAAAACATGGAAATGTGTTTAAATGCTTGTACATTTTAAGCAAATTATTTTATCATTCTGTTTTAGAATTTTAAATCGAAAAGTTTGTGACTTATGATTGCCAAGCTACCACAATAAAAAAAATAGTATGTTTTTTAATTGAACGTATATAAGTATAACGTATACGTCATATAGTGGCGTTGTTATGAACAACTTTTTTTTTTTTTAAATTAAATGCCATATTATTATGCTTCCTTCATGATATATAAAAAAGAAATATGGCATAACTAATAACATAATATATAAAGGTTTTTTTTAAATCAATATCCATTTTTTATACTAATTGTTATGTAACTAAGAAATAATCAAAGTAATAATTATTAATACAATAACCAATTTATCTTTATAATTAATTTTTCATTGTTAGGTTATAGTATAGATGTAGGGGTTGAATTAACGTTGAGTATTATATTGTTGTTAAATCGAATGGAAATTTTTTTTTATTTGTACGCATTATAAAGCAATTGTATTTATATGTCTTTAGGAATATTTCATTATCGTGGAGAATCACTTATAATAAGAACAAAATATGGTATACAATGTACCTATATGTATGTAAAAATAGTTCGAATCCTCTGTATAAATTAATTTGTAATATTGTATGCTTTTGTGAGAAAGGAGTATTACTCACTCATAAACAAAAATCATACTTTGAAAAATGACAATAACGAGTGAAAGTATTAAAAAACCATACAAATTGAAGTACAAAAAAGTTATTTATAAGTAGGTATGTGACGAGAAGTCGTATTTTCTTGTATTTCTATTATCATGATCATCACAAATGTATAATAATTATATTGTGTTCTATTTATACTCTAACAGATTCATGTAATTATATTTCATTAGGTGTTTACCTATTCTAAAAAACACTTTATTTTTACACATGACTTGCGTTCCTAATCCTTATAGTTTCTTACCAATTTCAACTTGAAAAAGGGTTACATGGATAATGTCCCTGGTTGAATTTTTGTAATTATATTTGTTTGTAGCCCTTAAATAATCTCTAATTTTAACCTGTTTCAATTTATATTATAATTAAATATGCAACACTCATTATATTTAATATTATAACTAAAAGTAAAATAATATGTTGTTTAACGCCTTGTTTATAACCTTGTAGTTGATGCCTTCAAAAAAATATGAATATTAAATTTGTCTTATAGTTTGTATTCTTGATATTTTTAAGTTTGATTAATCAGTAACCTCAATTTAATTATTTCCTAAATATATTAGTATAATTGCTTACTAATTTTATTAACGGCAATAGCTTGTGATTTATATTAAACCGCTGAACAAGATAAATTAAACCTGATCAATGATCATAGCTTAAAAAGTAGTTAAGAAAAAGATCCTGCATCGAGAAAACAAAAAAGAGAAACAACCCCCTTATATTTTATAGAGAGTAACATAAAACAATAAAATACTAATAAAATAATAACGAAAAAATATGTAAACATAATATAAGATACCTACTTATAAAAAAATGTTAGGTTAAGGTTAGGTAACTTTTTTTTATAATATAAGTATTAATACTGTAAGCGTATACCAAGTTCTTCTCAACTTTTTTTACGACCACACCATGGTTGAAATATTCAAGGTTACTGCATATATACCCCTTCTCAATCAAATATTTGATGATAAAAACAAAAATGGCAGCGTAAAGAGAGCCAATAATAATGAAGTATGTAAGCGTGGGATTTTGAATTTGTTAGCTTTTGTCGGCGTATTTTTGATGATAAGAAAAATTGATATTTGTAATATCCCTTTACGCAGCTATTTTGTTTCTTATGATAACAATCTGAGTCGATATGCAATAACTTGTATATTTCAACCATGGGCTACACCCTAATTTAGATCCATAGATTTAGAACATACTTTAAAGAATTAATGGATTTTTTTAAAAATTAACAACTATAAAACCATACCTATATAAATTGAGAACGAGATTATCTTCACAATAGTTTTTCTTTTTTGGTGACACATCATGGCGTAATACACTATTTGAGAACCTCGTTGACGGTTATTTTTGTTTAATTTATTTGAATTTTGAATTGTTGACACTATTATTATTAATATTATATAAAATATCTAGTTAAGAATTGTGTATTAGGTACTTTGGATTTATTATCCAAAAATATTTTTTTTTATTTTGAGCTGTTCAATAATCTAACTTTATATGACGTATGTTGGTTATTGAGAATCACTTATGATAATAAATTACAGGTAGAAAAATTATTAGGAAGCCATTTGTGATCTGCATTATTATTATTACTTAATGTCCTGTACTCCTATTTACGTATCATGTAGAATAAACTAGGTATGTTGAGTCTATAAAGACTTGTAGTAGCTGCTAAGTTTGACTAGAAAAAAAAACCAAGGACTTTAAAATCATTTTTATTAATTTACTTGTTTTCTGCAGGATGGTGTTACTGGTGCGAGGCGTGGTTCAGGACGAACCCCCGCCAGACACGAGGACGCTGTACCTCAACCACCCGGTACTCAGAGATTCCGCATCGCAATTGCTCACCATCTCTACTAAAGTCGTCGGGCCCATAGGGCTCCTTTACGTGTGCCAACGGGAGATGGCAGTGACCGCACCGCATGACAGTACGTATACTTGTATTTTTATAAAATAATGTGGTATCCACGCGTGGTTTATTCGTGTTGGTGTGGGGGGGGGGTTAACGTTTGTATTATATTTATTTGTTCCAATATTTGGGATAATAGCGTTTGTATTTTAATAATGTAATGATATCGTCTATTAAACAGTATGGCGTACCTATTAATAATGGGTATTTATTGTAATTATATTGGTTCCGAGTTTTTATAAAGACGTCGCTGTCCGGTCCTATCTTGGAATATGTGGAGATCAGGGGTGAGATCCTCATAATTATATGTTATACGTGTGCAACACAATAATTTCGATACTTAATAATTACTATAGCTTTACGTCCATATACGTACTGAATTAAGCACCTGCTTCATATAATTACTTTCCTGTTCACATTGCTAGTATTTCCGATTTCGGTTTTCATTCCTTGGCCGACAGAAAAATTCAAATTATCGTGACATTACGTCATTATTGCGTGAGCATTTCTATACCTTAGAAACAGTAAAAACTCGATTCTCTTTATCTCCTGAATAGAATTTTAGAGTCATTTTTTTTACTTACAATTACTGAAGAGCAGATTCTTTATCTATCAGACATGGACCTCTTAGATTCCAAAGAGTTCCGACCTGTCCTTCTGGTATTATACGTATTACTTTGTATACACAATTCTACCTTAAAATATCTGCCCGTATTTTGAATAATAATTAAATGGCCAATGATATATGGCACTGACACTCATTTCTTAGAAATATAACTGTATAATTTAATATAAGTAGGTAACTAATAACTAATAACTAATAACCTTTATAATGTGTTGATGGATTCTAATAACCACCAAATGTACAATATTTTTGACTATTTTACTTTATCGGACATTTTTTGGATTATAAGTATAACATAAGACTTTCAACCCTCTCCCTCCGTTCCACTTAAAAAGCTAAACATGCCACTGATCGCGTTTATGAAAACAGTCTACTACCTACTACCTACCTACCTATTATTTATGATATTGATTAAGTTTTATGATTGATGACGTAATAATAAAATAGATATTTATTTCATGTTTATAGAAAACGTTTCGATCATCGGTTCCGACGACGTTACCACTTGCATCATTCTCGTACTCCGACATACCGGTAAGTTTATTTTGTATTGATATATAAGTACGTTAATGTTTATATCGTATTCAAGTATCCTTATGTATGTTTTGAGCATTACGTGGTATATAAAATAGGTACCTAAGTCCATAACGATCTCATATATTGTATACATATAAGTCTATATGATTTAGTGCTTTACCTGAAACTCGGCCAACGATCCTTCAATATTAATCAAAACAATTTTCATTGTGAAATAATTTGGTGAATTTCAGAATATGATATTGATATTTTTTATGATTTAAAATAATTTCAAGCTCAGTATATTTTAAATTATATTTTAGAGTTTATTAGTTAGAAAAAACAACAAAATATATTTGCTCGACACGCTCATAACCAAATGTTGATTATCTCTGTTGTGTAAGCACTGCTTCTAAATATTCGATTGCAAATTGCAATCCTAGTTGCTCTCAAGAGTCTAATACGGGTATTCAGTATATAAATCATCAGAATTTTTTATTTCGTGAAATATACGTGCGTACTTATGTTTACTTACCTATATTATATACTATTTTGAATTGTCTATTGTATTCGCAGTATACATATATTCGTAGGGTTAGATTAGCGTAATAAATTAGGGTACCTATATGGACATGGTGACACGCATGCCCAAATAATAATATACCTATGCGAAGGTCGAAAACCGATTATTTTCAAGCGCCGAGTCATATTATTATACCTACCTACGCTTTTATATTACCTATCATAAAGAACTTGCTGGCGTACCCTTAACACTAACACGTAGGTTCCCAAACTTTGTTTTTCGCGTGCTACTGATTGAAAATAGAACTGTTCAAAATGTCAATACGTTTATATCAAAACGATAAGGCAGTAAAAAATTACTTACATTAGTTATAAGTTTTTATTATCTATGTCGTGCGAGGTGTGTGCTAACTGATAATAATAATTATTGTCGTATTTTTCGTGATTCAGGATAACAATAATATTTATTTATTATAAGAATATTCATAGTAATAACATACAATAGCAATAATTATTTACACAAAATATAGAAAAATATAAAATCCGCCACAAAATCAGTAACTAAATAATATTTTCCGTACTATGTAGTGTGCACTCATGTGGTGTTTTGCTTAGTCTTTAGCCTTTTGCTTACCTGCACTAGTGATGGTATGAGTACCGTAGTTTGGAAACCTCTACCATAACCTATATATATTATATATATATTTTAATATTTATATATATAATATATATGCATAGTATAACACAGTCATGTAAAACTCATGACTCCTAAAAAATTTATTTTGCAGCTCTATTTAATAAATAATAATTTTAATAACCAATCTAATTCATATTAAGATATACGTTTTATTAAAATAACTAAATTATATCTATAGTAAATATGAAATAAGTAACGTTGCGCTGAGTACACTATGTATAATATAGTTTGTAAAAATATTGTTATTTTTTGCCTGCGCACCCAAAATCCAATTTTTTTTCATAATTATTTACCCTAATAATACTTTGAGTTTGATATGCCTGGGCTATAAGATAATATAATTGATTATTTTTTCGGGAATTCTTACATACATCATTTTTAGGTTCTGGTGCTGTGGGTTTTGCTCATCTAGACGGTTCGTGTACCGAGGAATGTGTGGTGAACATGGTGCATAGGATTCAAGAGCTGTCCATGGGCTTCCCGGACGGTCGGCTGGAAATGTCTTTGATTGGCGGATTTACTCACGTGTTGCGTTATGGAGAACAAGTGTTTTATAGTCTGATGGGTAAATGTCTTAAACGTTATTTTCCAACCGAAAAGTCGGTATAAATTAACGTTATACATAATAATAATATTATTATATCTGGCACTCGTGCTTACATACCTATATAACAGTTGCTGTTCACAAACATCAAACTGAAATCGAACTTGTGCTCGCGTGTGTTGGAGAACTCAACACCATTATGCGGAACAACGTCCACTGGCCCTTGCTTTACGGAGCGGGTAATGTTTTTTTTTTAAATACCTATATTTTTTCTTAAATACATTTTTAATGTTGATCATTATCCTTGTCTCTTACATAGGAGTTATGGTCAAGAGCGGTGAAGTGTTTCCGGCCAACTTTCCTGACAAAGGGCCCGAACAACCTTTGAGGCTAGCTCGGCTGTTCACAGGCCTGCAACCGGTATATTTAAATACGTATTATAGTGTTATAATGTATAATATGCATTATAATTTAAAATTATTCTTTCTGTTAAATTAATGTTTTTGAAAATATACATAATATACGCATATTATAGTATATATTTTGCTTACATAATTTGAAGTCATTACAATAAACATACAATTTTCGTTTTAAATTAAAATTTTTTTTAATGACTGACCTATGTATTTTCTTTACACAAAAATAGGTGTTGGACGTGTATGACTGCAGCTTGGGTCTCTTGAGAATCGGACCGTTCAACTACGAGCCTATGCGCAGTGTCGACTTGTGGCTCCAGCAGTCCGACGAATTCATTCTGCAAGCTTTGTCGACTACTCCCGACGTTGAACCACCGCACACAGTCATGGCCGTAAGAATTAAATTACACTCTAATATATATGTTAATCATTTTATACTGTATCCTCCGTACTCAGAAGTTCAAAGCTCGATAGTTGTTGCGTAGTAATAACAATTTAATATTTGTGATTTAATACGAAAACATTAAAATATTAATATATTTGGAGAAAACAAAACGTTTTATTTTGTCGTTTTGCCGAATATTCAAACAAAAATATTTCTAAAAAAAGAGACTTATCGTTGTAAATACAATTCGCTACGTTCAGAATCTAATATGGTTAATTGGGCCCCCACATGAGCTTGCTCAATGGTGCCCATTATATTATATAATATTATCTTATATTTCTATGAAATATTCTGTATAAAAATAAAAAACAGATGTTTTTTTAGTTTTAGATATTCGCATCGCGAATTATCAATAAGATATACCTATGTCGATTCCCGGTGAATGCTTATTAGACTTTATCGCTATAATACAAGTTACAACTGTATAACAAGTTATAATACGTGACTTGTACAGCTGAAAATAATTAATTGAAATATAATGTTCACATTTTAGATTCTGAGTGAAACGATGAAAGTATTGATTTTACAATGATGTGTGTTTTTTTTTATTTTTAATTTTTAATTTTTGTGTCTGTCATCACGGTTTGGGGCAGTAAAACTGCTTTGATTTTCTTCAACAGTATCTTGTACGATGGGAAAGTGAATATAGCTGGGCATTCGGGGAGTCAAATTTTAAAATTCCCAATTGTTTTCACAAAAACAACATAAAAATTAAGGAAAAACGGGAATTTTTACGCAAAATCGGTTTTCCACGAAATCGATTTTGGTTTTTGGTGTAACTCTAAAACAAATAAATGTATATACATGCAATTTTCACTGGTTGATTATTATTGCATTTTCTATACACTATAAAATTTTCGAAATATTATTATTTGTTTTGAACTGTTTAGGAAGATTTTCATTTTCCATTTTTTTCTAAAAATATCAATAAAATGTTATTTGTTGGTTAAAAAAGCTTGAAAATTTAATAGAAGGCTCCTAGTATATTTTTTCAAAGGCAGATGAAAAATAATAAAAATCCTTAGTCACAGTTTTCTTTTAAAAGCGTTTAAAGTTCAAAAATTGACAAAATATGGAAAAATCACGGATATTAGCAAATTATTTTGAGTTTAGAATTCGTAAAAATTTTTCTTTTCAAAATGTAATACAAGATTCCTCATAAGATTATCTACTTTTATCAAAAAAAAAAAAATGTATAAGAAAGTCAAATTAAATTTTTATGAGCGTTTGAAATTCAAATTTTTACAACATTAGATATTCACTCGATTTCTCATGTAGCGATTTCCTTATTTTGTTGTAATTAAAAACGAATAACTGTAGATACGTGCAAATTTTACTGAATATTTATATTAGTATTTCCTATACACCATACAATTTTGAAAATATTTTGGCTCTTTTTGAGCTGTTTACGGACATTTTCAGTTTTCAATTTTTTTAGTTTTTTTTTCTATAAATATCAATAAAGTTCTATCTGTTGGGCCAAAAAGTGTAAAAATTTAATACAAGGCTCCTGATATATTGTTACAATAGCAATTGAAAAATATTAAAAATACAAAGGCACAATTTTTTTTTTAAGAGCATTTAAAGATTGAATTTTGACAAAATTTATCACATTTAGAATTGAATAATTATTTTGTAGTTAAAAATTTATAAAATGTTCAAATTTTATATCTAAGCATTGAAAATTTAAAACATGATCTCATGTAAGTAGTTAATTCTGTTTCCAAAAAATCTAAAAAATACATAAGCACAGTTTATTTTTATAGTAATTTTAAGTTCAACTTTGGACGAAATTACATAAAAAAAACTTAGAATAACTATTTTAGTTATTTTGTTGTGATTGTATAATATTATTTGTGGGTACTTGAAACTTCTAAAGTACACCATTATATAATATCTATGGACTATGATAGTATCAGGGTTTGTTGTTGTATTATAAGTACCTAATGGATATTGCAATATGATTAATTTGGAATTTATTGTAGGTACCTATTATAGATCAATTTTTTTTAATACCATAGATAAGTATATACTATGTCTTATACCTAGACTGACATACCACCGTCTTCCCTCAGAATCGTTTTTCTTATATAATGATATTATATCATTGAATTCAAATTTAATACCATCCATTATACAGTGACGCACGTATAACCTACTGTACAGCAGAGCATCTGTTTATTATTGTTTTATTTCAGATACGAGCCTCTCTGAAATATGTCCAAGATCATCCGTTTCCAGCGGTTACGGTGTTCAGGGATAATCGACCGTTATACTATAGACGAGATGAACACTCTGGCACGTGGACTCCATTTCGCTATTAAAAATATATGAATCTCTTTCTCGACAATCCAACGATAAAACGAAAGTGCCAAATCAATGTTTGTAAGGCGTCCACGATTTGGTAACATTCAAACGTAATACCTATATCATTGACAACAAATTACCAGTGTTAGTTTTTTTGATATTAACTATTATTATTTATAGAACATTCCATTTCGTTTTGCCCTAATCTTGTGTTTTATAAGCTGTTCATTTTATTTTTTTATTTGTAAGTGCCTTTATAGTTAAATTAAATTTTTTAAAAACTGTTTTTATAATTTTTAGAAGCTAATGGAAAAATTGAAAACAATTAAGTAAACTATAATATGTATTAAGTTTTAACTGTGGTAATATTATATTTTATGTTGTACGATGAAATAATCAAAAAAAAAAAAAATATATATATACAATGTTTATTTATTTTTTTTAACAATTGTTTCATACATGTGAATTTTAATCAAAATGAATGTTAAGTGTACAATAATTATATTTTTTTATCATCATTTATTTTGCAAGTGACGTTTTTTAGTTGTATTGTTGTAATATTGTCATTGGCAACAAAATTCAGCATATTTTTATTGTTTAGTTAGATAACGTAATAAACTAAAATGACGGATATTACCTATAATACCAGGGCTTGGAAACAAAATTTAAAATATTGAGCAGGAACCTTTTGAAAATATTGGAACCAGAACCATATTTCCCAGTCAAAGTTCTCCTTTTTCTGTGGGGAAAATTTTGTTTCTTAGTAATGACTGTATCCTTCTCGGTTCTTTCCCATGCTAAACAGTTTTTTGCTATGTTTTACATTTGTAAGACGGGGACGACACTTGCTGGTGTAGCGTCCTCTTAAGGTTTATTGCTGGAATCCTTTTTAGATTTTCTTACTTATCTAAACCTGAACTGGTACCGATATTTATTAGTTTACACTTTTTTGGTATTGATATTATTAATTAGGTAATACTAATTGGTCCATTGAATTTAATTTTATATGTTTAAAAAACATCAAATAACTTATCTATTGACTTTTAAGACCTAATCCTATTACTTTTACGTCTGGTAAGTGGCAACCAACTGTTTTTTATTATTTCATCCAATGCCTAGAGGCTAGAATAATACACTATAGTTATGTTTAATAGCATTTACTGCCACTTAGCGACATGCCCACCTTGTTGTTGAGCATGTCTTTAAGGTTTTATGATTAGACCTATGTTCTTTTCCTATATTTTAAAAATTAGAGTGTCGTGTAATGCTGCTTTAGTAGTTTCAAAAGTTCAAACTTTTACAACTGAAGCTTACAACTTATAAGAGGTCCCATAGAGTAAGTTCATCAAGGGACTGTATAAATGACTGTTCTAATGACTAAGGCTGGGATTTGTATAAGCTCTGCTGCTAGGCGATGCTCGTTTTGTATAACATAATGTTTCATATATTTATGAATCAGAATAAGACATCTTTATTTGCATTATTGACGATTATAAACTTCAAGAACATATTTTTCATTTTTCAAAACATTTTAGGATTTTTGAGACCTATAAATGTTAGTATATATCTATATTTATTTTATTCTAAAATTTTTACATGATTTTTATATAAACTTAACAAACTATAACTATATGCCGATAAACAAATATATAAACTAAACCTATAAAAAAAAAAATGTAGAAATAATTTATTTTTCAGCTTAAAGTCCGAAACGATCAGTTTCATCCATACAATTTTTTACAATATTTACAATCTTTTATAATGTATAATACGTTTTGTCATTTAAACCAAATTTATATCGAAATTATTAAAAATTACTAATTACTAATTAGTATAATTCGGTACATGTTTTTTGTGCATTATCCAGAATTTTTATATGCTTAATACCATTTTTTGGGTTTTTTTAGGGCTCAAGTATTGACCATTCATATCAACATTTCTTTTATATCATAGTCCATAGACAATTATGCACCTATCGCTTGGGTGTTCAATAAGCATATAAGCATTAAGTAACAATAACGACATGAAAAAATTAAGTTACATTAATTAAAGAAATAACGATTCATAACTATTGTAAATTAAATGAATAAAATGTATGCAATAAATATATTTATGATGCAGACATTTTGGCTCCCCCCCCCCCGGGCTGAAACGAACTAGGATCTGGAAATACGCAGTGTTGTATAAATTACTTTTGATAAGTTATAAAAATTAAAATTACATTACTCGTTACATTAAATACTATTATTTAAATTACATTTGCGTTATCCAACATTATTTTTATTACGTTACGTTACTTTTTCATTCAAAAAGTAGGAAGTTACAAATAACTAAACTTTTTAAAAATTAATTACAAGTCCATAACGACTAATAACTAGTAACAACTTATTAAGTAATGTTAAATTGTTATACATCATTCAATATTACAATATTTTATAGCAGAATAGCTGATTTATAGGTATAACATTGATGATGTGCATTGTACATAATATTATGGTTAGTAATTAAATGTTATTTATAGTTATAACAGGCTTATCCGGTGATTGGTAAGGTATAACATTGAGGTAGGTTTATCAGGAGTAAATGTCAAATAATAATATTATTTATTATTTTAGACTTTGGTTTATTTATGAGTCATAATTATCTTAATTGATTTGAATTAAGGTTTATTTTTGAGTCTGAATTCTTTTATTTTCTGCTAATAACATTGATTCCTGAGATCTATAATAATATTGTTCATTATTATTTAAAATTCTACCCAACACAATAAATACCGAATACGTTACTGGATTCGAGTAGGTACCAAGTCTAATTCACTGATAATTCGTGTAGTAGATAATAATGCACGGTAAATAAAGCAATTATAAAAAGCAAAAATACAAAATATTACCGGCGCTTCAAAGAATATCAAGAGGACGAAGAAGTACGCACTTTAAAGGAAAAAATAATACGGACTTTGGTACTAATTATAAAAAAAACCGTCCGTGCATTCACATTTAATAAATAAAATGGACATAAGCACGATTTTATTGAAATACTGATTATATAGTTTATAGTATAATATAGTAATACTACCCTAAGTCCCTAAGTATCTAATGCAATTACAATATAAGACATTAGTAAATAGTAATACACAACACACGTATACTAATTAATACCTAGTCATCTAAATAATTATTAAATAGGTACCTACCCTTGAAAATTGTTCCTGTTAAATCCATTAGAGGTACCTATTGTATAAAGTTACTATTTAAGTTGCTGTATGAAGTGGATTCAATAAACTAATCAGTGACAAATATTGTTTTATATGTTTTAGGGCAATTCGTTATATATTTATTATAATACTAGCTGATCCCGTGCACTTCGTTGCCCTTAAAAATGTGTGATTGTTTAAATCTTTTTGGATGTAACTCGCAGCAGTAAGTGCAACTCAGCCACCCTGGTAGGCAGTCCGACTACGTCGGATCGCGGACATTGTGAGATAATACATTAAGTAATACATTTCTCGTAAAACGTAACTTTTAATGCCATAGACATAATATTTATTGATAAAAATAATAATACTAATCAACAAACATGCCCGATTAACCAATAGCAACCAATATATAATACACTATTATTATTTTATTTTTTATTTATTTTTTATATATTAGATTATTTACCAATAGCAACCATTTATAAACAAATATTTCTACCGTAAATTATTAAAATCCCTGTTTGAGCACTTCTTTTATTTTTTTCTGGACAACCCTTATCACTTAGGGGTATGAAAAATAGATGTTAGCCGATTCTCATACCTACTGAATATGCACAAAAAATTTCATCAAAATCTGTCAGGCCATTTTGGAGGAGTATGGCAACGAAAACTGTGACACGAGAATTTTATATATTAGTCATTAGATGTATGTATTAATTTAAAAAATATAAAATATAATATAATTTGAATGCAACCAATATAGGTAGCCCTCTGTGCAAAAAAACAATCACATAGACTTCCCTTTAGGCCATAGTTATTAGTTATTACCTTATAACATGAGAAGTTAAAAACTAGTGTCTTATGATGTCTCATAACCATAAGTATTAGCGTCGCAAGCTAGGTAGGTGCCTATATAGATTGGTACCCATCAAAGTGTTATAATTCTAAGGTTTACACACAAATGGACTCAAATTTTCGATTTAACTACTTACCATATCAATGGGGATTCTTTATTTGTAAATAAATTATAAATAATTATCAAAATACTATACCACGGTCAGAGCATCTGGTATAAGCAAAATATCTATATTATGGGTATTACTGTAGAACGGCCACGACGATTATCTTATGCGTCATAAAAGGCGATTATTTTAACGACGTTCATCGTTTCAAATAAAACCCATTAACTAACTATGTTTCAAATGTTTCATATAAGATATAAGAGATAATATAATAGAGATATATAATATATAACACATTTTTAAATGATTACCAATGAAGCAATAAAATATATGTTCTTGTTTTTCAAGTGCAAAACATCAATCTAACATCAAATCCAGTACTTAAATAAAAACTCGCATACCTATGTGCTTTTGTTTTTTTTATTCCAAAAGTTTTTGTTTTCAGCTTCATTGCCAAGTCCTTAAAAAGTAAAAGTGCCAGAGTCGACAAAAAATATCACCCGTGTTGTAAAAGGTAATTAGATACATCAGTAGCATAATATAACATTAGTTTTATCAATTATCATATTTTATATCTGCAGCGTACGGATTTTTTTTCACAACAAAGCATGCACATTAGAAACAGAGATCTTCGAGTAATAAACAGTAACTATATTATGTTAAAGACTTTCGTGATATTATCAAACCAAAATTAAAATCCGTATAGGTACCCCACCAAAATATCAGGGCTAGCATTCTACCAGTAAGTATTTTAATGTAGGCCCGTAGGTAATAGTTATAATATTATTATAAATTTTCAGTTAATTCTTACATGTGATTGATGTCGTATCTTTGTCGAGTAGGTTATTTGAGTCCGATA